CCATCGCTGTAGTCACCGAGAAGTCATTCATTCAAAGCGCTGCTGCTGGGGTTTCTTCTACTATTGTCACTACCACTAACTAGTACCATTTATTGAGTTCCCTATGGGTGCCAGGTTCTGAGCTAGGTGCCATGGAGGCAGAGATGACACATCTTGATCCTCATCGTTGGGAAGCTCAGCCTATTGGGGAAGACAGATTCTCAAATGGAGAATTATAATAAAGTGCAGTAAGTGTCGAAAGAGAGTGTGAAAAAAAAATCCTTGTGTTGCCTTAATCAGTAGTACTGAGTTCCTATTCTGTGTCAACTGCCTAGTGAGGTTCTGGGGATATAAGCACAGAACTTTATAGTTGTAGCTGTCCGCTCAGTACACGTCTCATCTCATTTCATCATCACAACAAATCCGTGAGGTTTACAGGGAAGATAGCAATAGCCCTATTATATAGATTAGGAAGCCAAGACTCAGAGAGGTCGCACGAGTTGCCAAATGTAACACAGCTAGCTGCTAGGTTATAGAGGCTTGGACTCAATGGACTTCTAATTCAATCTCTTTACTGCTGCCCCACACTGCTTGGTGCTGTTTACTGACCGGTTGGTAGGGTAGTGGTTAAGACTAAGTGCTCCTAGAGCCAGGCTACCTGGGTCCACCCTGACTCTACCACTCTCTAGCATCAGGCAAATTACTTAACTTCTCTGTGCTTCATTTCTCCCATCTGTCAAACGGGAAGAATAACAGTACTTAACTTACAAGATTATTTTGAGGATTAAATGAGTAAATGCTTATGTCAATTATATAATAAAGAATAAATGTCAACTCTTTTATTATTATTATTATTATTATTATTATACAGATGAAGGTCTCACTATATTGCCCAGACTGGCCTTGAACTACTGGGCTCAAACCACCCTCCCGCCTCAGCCTCCTAAAGTGCTAGGATTACAGGCATTAGCCACTGCAACCAGCCGTCAGCTCTTAATAGTACTGTCAACACATGAGGCAGAACAACTTGGGGCAAGTGAGAAGAGATGCAGATTCAGGGAAGGTGCTAAATGCTGCCGAAGTAACATCTGATTCGTTATTCTTGCTTAACAGGAAAAAAAACCTTCCAGCTCTCTATACAGAGTGCACTCTGATATCTCATTCTTTCAATCCTCCAGGGACAGCCTTGACTCCAAAAGTATCCGCACAAGTAATGGAGCCACAGAAAGTGGAAGAACCAATTCTGCCCTGGAGAGATGACCTCTGCCTTTGTAGGGTCAGGAGCAGAAGAAAACTGTCAAAAGGACCAGGATTTATAAAAAGCGTCTATTATAGAGGATTTATCATTGAACAAGTCATCTTATCCGTATCTTTAAAACAGGGTCAGTATGGGTTGATACTAGACATAGGGCAGATACTTAATTATATAATGATATTTGAATTGGCTCTTCCTTCTGTATCAATACTCTGGGATGCCGTGACAATCTCCTTCTCCCACTTCGCTTTTCCTCAAATCACTCTGACAGCTCTTCTTTTGGCTCCTCCATGAGCTCTTCTGCCACCCCTTAAATGCTAGTGTCCCCCAGGGATCTTTTCTTGGCCTCCAGTCCTCACACACTACACTCTTTTTCTAAGTGATTGTGTCATTTCCGACATCAATGACCATCTATTTCCAAGTTGATAACTCCAAAATCTCTGTCTCCTGCCAAGACCTCTGCCCAAGCTTCAGCCTCATCATCTACCAGTCTGCTAGATATCAGCACCCAGGCGCCCCACAGGCACCAGTCCCTGCCAAATATGTTTCTCCACTGTGTTCCCTACATTATTTTCTGACATCAGCATTAACCTAGCCAGTCAAGGTAGGAACTTGGAAGTCATTCTTTTTTTATTCAGATATCACATACCATATATTTGCCTTTGTAAAGTGTACAAATCAGTGCTTTTTAGTAAGTTCACAAAGTTTCTCAACTAGTCCCACAATCTAGTTTTAGGACATTTCATCGCCCCTGAAAAGATTCTGCTTGTCCTTTAACAGTCACTCCCCAATCTCCACTCTCCCAGTCTCTGGAAACAATGAATCTGTGTTCTGTCTCCTTGGATTTGCCTATTCTGCAGATTTCATATAAATGTAGTTGTACAATATACGGAATTTTGTGATGGCTTCTTTCACTTAGCATAATGTTTTCACGGTTCATCCATGTTGTAGCATATATCAGGCCTTCATTCTTTCCTATGGCTGAAAAATATTCCACTGCATCGATTTATCACATTCCCTTTATTTGTCAGGTGACTGGCATTTGGGTTGTTTCCACTTTTGGGCTACTATGAATAATGCTGCTATGAACATCCACATACAAGTTTTTGTGTGGATATGTTTTACTTAGTTTTAGAGTTGCTGAGTATATACCTTACATTAGAATTGCTGGGTCATTTGGTAACTGTATGTTTAAGCTTTTGAGGAACTGCCAAACTATTTTCCAAAGTGAGCACACCATTTTACAAACCTACCAGTGATGTATGATGGTTCAAATTTCTCTAGGAGCCATTCTTGATCCCTCCCTCTCTCCCAATCCACACAGATAGTCAATCACCCAAGTCTTGCCAATTTAACATCCTAAACCTCTCTCAGTACTGCAATTGTTGCTCTTAGTCAGTTCTACATCATCTTTCACCTGGACTATTGTAATAGCCTTCAAGCTGGTTCTTGCCTGAGGCTACTCGTCTACCTGTACCAGCATGAGCTGTCTAAAAACAGGCCCCAAAGAATATCAGTTCCCTGTTTGAAGCCCTTAATGCAGTGACTCTCAACCCTGCCTGCATAGTAGAATCATCTGGGCAGATTTCAGATATCCTGATGCCTGGGCTGCATCCCAGGCTGATTAAATCAGAATATCCAGGTATGGTATCCAGGCATCAGTACTGTTAAAGCTCATGAAGAGATTCCAATATGTAGCCAAAAGCAGAAGCATTGATTTAGTGACTCCCTGTTGCTTATAAGATGAAGTTCAAGCTCCCCAGCATGGCCCATGGGTCCTCCATTATCTGACTCCTGTCTACTTCTTTATCTGCATCTTGTACCACCCCTCCCTGCATCACACATAATACCCCAGCCATGCTGATCTGCACGTGGCCTCCAGCAGAAACATATTTTTCTTCCCTGTCTTCTCTGTCTGGGAATGTCCTTCTCAGCTTTCTTTGCCTCAGGAGCTCCCTTCCACTCATTCCTTAGGATTCAATACCTCTAGAAACTCTTCCTTTATCACGTCCTTTTTGTCCTGTGTACTCCTTCAGCTCTATTGGAATTGTTTGTCTTCCCCGGAAGACTGGGACCTGCCCCTTCCCCTACCCGCAATCTAGCACCTGAAATTTATTATGCCCTGTAAGTAAGAGCTTGTGGGTGAGTGAATAAATTAATTAATGTCCTCAAAAGAGGACATTAATTGACACGACAAAATGTTGTGTACCATCTTAATAATCAGACCCTGAAGGCATCTAGGTCAGAGTAGACAAGGACCTCAACCATGAAGAAATGGCATGGTATACCCAGCCCCACCATACCAGCACACAGCTCCCTAGCCAGGGGAATCTCAGGTGCCACAGAAATTTGACCTCAACAAGAGAAGTTGGCTCTTGACTAGAACACACAGAAGTCTGGCCCCAGACTTGGCCCCTTGATTAGATATTCTCCTTACATATATCTCAACACTAAAATTACTTACCAACACTGCTATAGACTAAATGTTTGTGTCCCTCCAAATTCACAAGTTAAAACGTAATCCCCAATGTGATGATATTTAGGATGTGGGGTATTTGGGAGGTGAATAGGTCATGAAGGTGAAGCCCTCATAAATGGAATTAGTGCTCTTATAAAAGAGACCCCAGAGAGCTCATTTGCCTCTTCTGTCATGCGAGGACACAGAGAGAACACCACCATGTATGAACTAGAAAGATGGCCCTCACTAGACACTGAATCTGCCAGCATATTGATCTTGAGCTTCCTAGGCTTAAAATCTGGGAGAGATAAATTTCTACTGTTTATTAGCCACCCAGTCTATATAGCAGCCCCAGTGGACTAAGATTAACACTAACTGTCCATATTGCATGTCAGGTATAAGAGAAAGCACCATTTGAAGAAATATAAAAGTACATATAGATTAGAGTTCTTTATAAAACTCTGCTTTGTTGCTGTTTAATTCATGGTTCTCCACCTTGACTGCACATCGAAATCACCTAGGGAGTTTCAAAAATACTGACAGCTCTAAGTAAGTAAATCAATCAAATTACCTAATTTTTAAAATAAATAACAATACCAATTCCTGGGTCTCACACCCAAATATTCTGATTTAACTAGTTCAGCGGGCAGCCCGGACAGCAAGGGTTTCCAAAGCTCTTCAAGTGATTCTAATTTGCAGACATGATTGAGACCCACTTGCCCAAAAGCTACAGTCACGTGCCCCATAGCAATGTTTTGCTCAATCACAGGAACACAAGTACGATGGTGGTCCTACAATGGAATTAAAAATTTCCTATTGCTTAGTGATGTTGTAATCATAGTAATGTTGCAGCCCTAACACTGTAATGCAATGCAATGCATTACTTGTGTTTCAGATGACACTAGTGTTAACAGACTATTGCTCTGCGAGTCATATACAAGTCTAGCAATATGATTATGTATATGTAATACCTATACTAAATGATGACAAAAACAACTATGTTACTGGTTTAGGTTTTTACCATATCATATATTTTTTCATTATTTTCAAGTGCACTCCTTCTACTTATTAAAAAAAAAAAAGTTAAGTGTAAAACAGGCTCGGGCAGGTCCTTCAGGAGATATTCCTGAAGAAGGACTTGTTATCGTAGGAGATTACAGCTTCATGAATGTCACCACCCCTGAAGACCTTCTAGAGGGGGACAAGATGTGGAGATGGAATACCATGATATTGATGATCCTGACCCTGTGCAGGCCTAGGCTAATGTGTCTATTTGGTCTTAAGAGTTTAACAAAAACTTTCCAAACTGTGCTCTCTTTGACAGCACATGTAGTAAAATTGGAATGATACTGAGAATCATTGTACATGGCTCCTGTGCAAGGATGACACACAAATTTGTGAAGTGTTCCATTTAAAAAAATAAAAATTAAATTAAAATTTTAAAAGTAAATAAGCTTAGAGAATAAGGACATACATGAAGAAGATATTTCTGTACAGCTGCACAATGTGTGTTTTATACGTTATTACAAAAGAGTAAAAAAGGTAAAAAAATTAAAAGTTTATAAAGTAAAAATGTTATAGTAAGCTAAGGTCGATTATTTTTATTTATTTGTTATTTATTTATTTTGCATAATTAATTATTGAAGACAGAAAAAACTATATATATATATATATATATATATATATATATATATA